GTATAGCTCATTGGTAGAATATATGGGTACCTTTAAAGATCCCGGCACTGGTCCTTACCAACCCCTCCCATCAATCCAATTCTATCTTACGGAGTAACTGAACTCATGATTAGATAAATAATGACTTGTTTGATATGCAAGACAGATAGAATGCATGCCATTTAGGGACGAATGAATTAGGGAAAGTCTTCACATCATAGACAATGATGAACAAGGGCAAATGGTGTTACAGGAATTATCTTCAGACGCTGGGCGAAGGAGGGGACGAAGAGAATGAGAACAGATTGTCTCAGTTTGCTGCCCTGGTGGCTGTTTCAAAGTGTATCTGGAGGTCCTGGCAGCTTTGCTTGCAGTTCAGAGTTTGTTAAAGCAGTTATACTCAGGGAGAATCTGGAAACAGAGAACTAGCAGGAAAGGAACTTAAGAAATCCACACAGCATCTACCTAAGTCTTCGGCTACAAAGTGAGCAGGCGAACACTGTGTGAGACCAGGAGCTTGCTGTGTAAAAAACAGAAACTCTGGGGACTTGGAAACATTCTGAGCACCACAGGTGCGTTCCCCCCTACCCGGCATTTCTACTTTCAATACCAGGTGGAGCATCCTCAATAATCTAAAGGGATCCCAGGTAGGTCACGGACTGAGGGCAGAGCCAGCTCAGTCAGAGGAGGGGCTACTCTAGACCCACCATACTGTGGTCCAGTCATTCTGAAATAAGTCAATCCCACCCACAGTCCATTAACTGTCTGCAGAATAGAACACAGGTCTCAAGGAAGGAGAGGTGATGATTCTGCACACATCTGGTAAGCAGCTGTTAAGACATAGCCAAACCAGACAAAACAGTGGAACCCAACCTCTGTAGTTAGGTGTGGTAGCAAAAGGGGGAGAGAAAGGTCAAGAAAGGAGGAAGATAAGGGAAAGAAGGAGAAGGTGGGGATGGAGAGGGAGAAACTGTCAACTTATATGACCCAAGTTTAAAATGAAAAGACAGGAGATTTTAAGTAACTACTATAAGCATACTAAGATGTAAAGAAAACTATAGTCTTAATGAATTCAAAATAAAGTATACGCAAGAAAATAGAAACTATGGAAAAACCCAAGTGGAGCTGGTAAAGCTGAAAAGAACTATGCAATAAATGAAAATGCTATTTAGGTGGGTTGAACCGTGAATTAAAAATGTTGAGAGAATATCATAAACAAAGAGATGAACATAGATTATCAGGACGGGCTACATAACTGAGCGGGTGAGCACTTGCCTAGGATGTGTGGAGGTCCTGTGTTCTGTTCCCGTAATAAGAGAAAAAGAACAAGCAAGCCAAAAAAACCATGTATTCATATACATATGTGCACGCGTGTATGGATGTATGTAAATTATTCAATCTGAATAGAGGAGAGAAAAACATTTGTAAGACAATATTCCATCTTCTAATGTGTGTGGGGGGGTAGGGGGCTAAGCAGGAGAGCAGAAGCCTTAGACAGGAAGGAGGAGCACTTTGTAAAAGACATAAGCTTCCCTAAACTCTCAGGAAGCTCACAAAACTCTGGGCAGGATGGATAAAAGAAAACACAAATGGGCTCATTTATGCCCAACTGCTGAAAGCCAAAAATAAGGAGAAAAAAGCTAGAAAGCAGACAGGAAAAGCAGACCCACTGAATAGAGGTGAAGGCTAGAAATCCAGCTACTTTTCACTGAAAAAATCCGGGAGTGGGGAGAGCATTCTAGAAGACAAGGAGTGATATATTTAAAGTGATGATAGAACTTCCCACACAAAAAAAGTCCATCACTGAGTGCTAGTGGCATCTTTAATTTAGTACTCAGGGGGCAGAGGACACCTAGGACTACAAACAAACAAACAAACAAACAAACAAACAAAAGCTACTCAATAATTCTATAGCCAGTAAAAAAAATACCTCTGAAAAATGATGACAGGCTAGCCCTGACACTCATGTTTAATCGCAACTCTTGGGAGGTAGAGTCAGAAATAAGAGTTGAAGGTCATCCTCAGCTATGTAGCTCAAGGCCGGCCTGAATTACACGAATCCCTGTCTTGTTTTCATCACCATCATCATCATAAGAACAACATCACACATAAATAAAAACCAATTTTAGTGACAAAACAAAGATGCTTTGTTTGTTTTGGGTTTTCGAGACAGGGTTTCTCTGTATTGTTTTGGAAGCTGTTCTGGAACTCTCGCTATAGACCAGGCTCGCCTCGAAATCAAAGAAATCCACCTGCCTCTGCCTCCTGAGTGCTGGAATTAAAGGCATGTACCACCAGCGCCCAGCTAAAATAAAGATGTTTTAAGATACATAAAAGTTAGTCAGGCTTGGTGGCACCAGCCTAAAATCTCAGGACTCGGGAAGTTGAAATGACAGGTTCCACGAGTTTAAGACCAGGCTGGGCTGCTTAAGGAAACTGTGCCTCCAGGAGGTACAAAGACAAAGAAGATAACCACTAGCAACTGCCTGAATGAGAAAAGAAGCTGAAATGCTCCAGGACAAGAGAAATGAGTGTAGATAGAATCCCAGACCAAAGACAGTGACAACCCTGAAGATCACAGGTAAAAACTGCAGGAGATTCTAACGTTTTTTTTTTTTTATTTTATGCTGTAACCAAAATCAAGTGATGGCTTAAGCAAGCATATGCCAATTTGCCATACGCCTTAGGGTATACAGGAAAGCACAAAGCGTGGAGGTTAAGTGGAATTACAGTTGTTTCCACAACCACCAGGTATGTGTAAATAGTACGAAGGAAATATGTGAATGAAATTATACATATATATATGGCTGTAGAGAGAAGCCTTTTCCCTGCCAGCCGCTTTGGTTTTTCCCCACCAGTTGCCTGGTCTCTGCCGCATTGTAGTCCCCAAATAACACACAAGACGCTGTATTAATTATGAAGCTGTTGGCCTTGCTTGTTTCTTACTGGCTAGCTCTGACTTAAGTATTTATCCCATAATTGTTAATCTAAGTATTTCTCTTACTGGAGAAAAGTTCCGGACTCCTTACTTCTCTGGCAGGCTACATCGTGACTCCCGGTGTTTTCCTACCCAGAGTCCTCCTGGACTCCTAGTCCCACCTATCTTGCTTCCCTATTGGCCAACGTGCTTTATTGACATATACACAGGACTTCCCCGTCATACGGCAAACTAGACAAATGCAATAGCTGCACACAAAGATGCTTACCAAAGGAGGTTGTTTGTTTCACTTCTTGAGACAGAATCTTATTCTAGCCCAGGCCCGCCTGGAATTTACAGTGAGAAAAAAAAGCACAGCCCAAGAGTGCTAAGAGGGTTCAAGTGGCTTCACCATTAATTGTTATTTATTAACTGTATTTATTAACTGGGTTAAGGTGTCCCTGGGAATGCTCAAGCAGGTCTTGAACTCCTGAACTCAAGTCACACTCCAATCCCAGCCTTTCAAGGAAAGATCCTGAATTCAAAATAAAACCAAGGTTCTCCAGGTTTTGATACCAATGAATGGATACAGGAATGGCTATAGAAAGAAATGACGCCATGGGCTGGTGAGTGCGGGATAGGGATGGTGTTGGGAGTATAAGCTGAAAATAGTAGTTTGCGATTTTTTTGACTGACTTTGACAGATCGTTCCCACGATCAGCAATAACTCTAGTCTTAGACATCAATTATGGAGAAATGACAATACATATACACAAAAAGGCTTGTTGTCAAGCATTGTGGTTACCCCTTTAATCCCAGCACCGAAGACATTGAGAGCTGGTGATGGCAATAAGTTTGAGGCTAGCCCATGCTACCTAGTGAATCCAGGCAAGCCTGGGCTACAGAATAAGACTCTATCCCAAAAAGTAAAACAAGCAAGCAAAGGCTTGTTTATTGTAGAGCCTTTTTTTCTTTTTTCGAGACAGCCTTTCTCTGTGTAGCCCTGGCTGTCCTGGAACACACTCTGTAGACCAGGTTGGCCTAGAACTCACAGGGATACCCCAGCCCCTGCTTCCTCTGAGATTAAAGGTGTGGGCCATCACTGACAAGCTTTATTGCAGCTGTTAACATGATGCCTGGAAGCCATAAATCAGTGTACTTTGTGAACCAGTCAATGAGAAGACACATGTATCAGGGAAAGCCAGTGTTTTTCCTATGGTCAGTAGCGTGTAGCGTGTGCGTGTGTGTGTGCATGTTTCTATGAATATACTGTTCAAAGATTTTTAAAAGATATACTCAACAAACCTGGGTACATCTCAGAATGTCATATTGCCTGAAACCCAGGGGGAAATTTCAGGAAGTCTGATTCAGTTTTGTTTCAGTTCAAGGTTAGGAAAAGAACAGTGGCCGCCTGTGGAGTGGACACGGTGCTGCTTTGTGGGATCTGGAAATTGTCTCCCTGGATGGAATACGTGCTATAGTTTCTCACTGTGGAGTGCTTACCTCCGGAAGGAGGGCATGAATGGATGGAGGGCGTTTCTGGCATGGTAATGTTCTGTTACCTGACACGCAAGCATTTAGTTAGGGTAATCCTCGACTGTCATTCTTCCTGTGATTGCTCTCCTGAAAGATCCTAAATGTCCTGCACTTGAGGAATAAGTTGGATGATACGATTCTGAGATCCAATGGCAAGGAGCAGAGACCTACCCTGAGGACCAAGGCACTGGCTTCAGTTAAGCTGTTGGGACTCTGGTCACAGTGACACTATTCATGCGTACTAACTGTCATGGGCAAGTTTTGTCTCCTAAGATGGAATCCCAAGGACTGACAGGGCTCTCTTGGCCCAGCCTCTTGCCCTTGGCTTTACTTTTCTACCAAGGATGCTTTTTCGATGGTGGGGTAGCTTAAAGCCAGCAGGGGTCGAGGGTAAGTGTGAAAGTCTAGTTTGGAGATTTTCTTCTCATCAGTCTACTTCATATTTCCTTAATAGATTTCACACCTTCCCCATCCACACAAGTCTCTTCACGGGGGCCTTTCCAGGGAGAGGGAGGAGCTGGTCTAATTGGCTTAATGAGGTAAAGTCCTTACACAGTTGTCTTTGAAATAACATGCTATTGTTTCTTTTAATTGCAGACTACATGGGAATGGCTGACTTGCTCTAGGTTCATCAATCGAACACCCCGAGAAAACAAGTGACGCCGAGAGAAAGCACGCCTGCTCCCGCTCACCCCACCCCATGCCCTCTTCCTGCCTCCCCCTCTGCAACTCAGTTAAGTTGGCTCAGGAGGTAGGTTCTACCTGCCTCATACCTGCCTCTCCGGCCACCCAGTCCAGCTCTGAAGGACAGTGCTGCTGAAACAGCCGTACCAGGGCAGACTGGAAGACACCCGCGTTGCAGCATGGCTTCCCTTCCTGGCTGTCGCAATGGGAGGCACATTGGCGGTTTGCCTTGCCTGCAGGTCTGTAAGCATGATCACCCACCGAAGTTAATCAACTTTTCGCGGGCTTTTAAAAACATCCTTTTGTAAACGCTGTACTATTTCTCTTCGCTCACCAGCCTTGCAGAATGCTAGGCTCCATCCTCATTTTCCAGTGGTCTCCAGTTTTAGAATTCAGGTTTTGCCCAGAGTGCTCTCCGTGACACAATCTACCCGCTGTCACCCAGCCTGTGGTAATTGGACACACGCTGCTCCAGTTAATGCTGGTAGATGTCTCTTCAAATTGCCTTCTGGACCTTTTGTAAAAAGAAAAATGCATTCATTTTGAAACAGGTTCTGGGTAGCCTACTCTGGCCTTGAATGTGACAAGGTGCATGCCAGGCTGGGAAATAATCAGCTTCTGCGCACTTCTTAAAAACACAGATTTAACGTCTGCCGGCTGAAATGAGACACTGAGGAGCAATGTGGCTTCCGGTCATTCAGGGGAAGAATCCTACGAGCATCAGTCAGCTCACCTTGCAAATTCTGAATAAGCTATGTTTAAAAGGGGCCCTTTAGCACTAAGAGGACAAAGACTCTCTCTGATAAGTTGAATACATTAAAAAAATAGTTCAAATCCTCACTGCAATCCTGCTGACTAAAAACAACAACAAAAGGAAAAGACAAAGTCAAAAAAAAAGAAAAACAAAATACTAGAGGAAATGAAACACAGAGTCAAGTTCACACAGACCAGTTGCTGGCTGCTTGCCTCCCCTTCCAGCCTCCACCAGGATGCAGGCTCCTAAAGCATCCTAAAACATCCCAGCCTTCATGCCAGCCCACACAGCCACTGTCTCCCCCCTGCAGTGTCCCCTTCCAGCCTCCACCAGGATGCAGGCTCCTAAAACATTGCCTTCATCCCAGCCCACATAGCCACTGCCTCCCCCTGCAGTGTGTTTGTGTTTTGAGAATGTCTCATAACCCTCAGACTGACCTGGAACTCAGTACGTCATTGGACTTGCCTTGAACTCCTGGCCATCCTCCTGTCTCAGCCTCCTGATTGTTGACACAGTCGACGTGTGCCACCACGCCTGGCTTTCCCTGAGGCTTTAGAACAGTCCTCCGACTTCTCCTTTCGGTGCCCCCCTTGTGCCTTCTCACTGAGTTCCGCCTCCTACACGGTAGCAAGGGTGGCTTAGTTTTCACTTAGGACATTTTATTTCCGTTTATTGTAGTGGCAGGCCTGCTAGGGAATGTTCTACCCCTGAACTGTGTTCTCAGCCCAGAAGGGGGATCTTTCGGGTTGCCTGTATTAGACAGAGTTCCTCCTCTGTTCAAAGTCCTCTGTGAACTCTCTTCAGCCTCTTCTGGGGTCTGCAATGCTTCACAATCCTACGTCTCCCTGACGCCTTGTCTCTTTCTTGTTCCTCCCAGCACCTACCCTCCTCATCGCTGCCGCTCTCCCTCTGCTCCTGGAGGAAGCCTTCTTCCTCTGCTCCTTGTCTTTGGGCACCCTCCGGGAGCCATTCTTCTTCAAAGGCATGGCTGTCACCCGATTCTGCTGGATGTGGGGGTCTTTGGGGCTCCTGCAGCCTGCTTGCATCTAAAGTCCTTATGAGCAGGACAGATGGTGTGCTCTCTCTTTCCCAGAGAAGACTAGAGGCACGAGTGACCCTGGAAAAGCTGAGAGCATGTGGATGTACAGACTTAGGGAAGAAATACGGAGGACTTAGGAAGATGAGTTGTAGCAGTGAAAAATGACTGGATTGAACATGCAACAGAAAACTGAAGTATAGGACCAGTCTGGGCAGCATGGAGATAACCCGAACCTCTGTCTCCTCTCCCTCAATATACACACACAAATACACTCAAACTATATATACATATAGATAAATAATGTAACACACACACATGTGTATATACAAGCACACACACATGCATACTCTGATTTTCCTTGATAGGGTTTTGGTTAATCCAAGCTGACCCCGAATTTTCTATGTACCTAAGGCTGACCTTGAATTATTGATCCTCCTATTTCTACCTCCCAAATGCTGTGAGTGCTGGGACTGCACACATACACCATCAAATCTGGTGTGAGACATTCCAGTCTCTATCGGAGGAAAAAAAAAAAAGAAAACAAGGGGATGGGACATATGTAGGAAGAGGTGGGGCGGGCATTGCGTGATAAGGAGAGGGCTAGGGAGTCGCTCTGTCTTTCCCTTGGCCAGCCTCCCGTGTCTAGCACCGCAGTGTCTCTCTCCTATGCTCCTGTGGTTTGGTGCCCCCATCCCGGTGGAGTGGGAAGGACGGCTTTTCATAATAAACCCCCCCCCCAGCGGTCTTGTTTCCTCTGGCTTTCTCTGCCGTGGAATTTCAAAAGCTAACTCTAGGGCCTGAGGGTTAAGTAGAGGCTCAGTAGCAAAAAGCTCATGGGTCCACACCCTGAGTTCCAGTTGTGGTTACCAGGAGACAAATGGGAGGTCTTCTGAGATGCGAAGACTCCACCCAGGTCTGCTCTTAATACTCACAAGCTTGTAAGTCAGAACCTGCCAGGTTTGCGTGGAAACGGGAGAAGGGGTCAGGAGAGGTTATGTGCGATAGATAGCTCCACGGACATGCGCAAACTATTTCACTGCATCGGTGACTGCTTGGACAAAAACCCTGAGGCTATGCAGGAGACAGAGAGACACAGGAATTTTTATTCAAGAAAAATCCCAAGCCCTTAAGGAGTAAGTTCAGTGTCCCTAGCCTAGTTCCCCATGCTCCCTCCTCTGGGTCAGGGCCTCTTTCTGCCCACACAGTCTTGCCCAATACCAAGATTGTGTCCCGGGTCTGGTTCGTAGAAGTTTCTGTGGTGTAGAGAAAAGGGCATTGGGATATTCCAGGAAGCCTCCTGAACCGGGGATTTTTTTTTTATATTGACAGATCTGCTAATTTCTTAGATGTGCTATTGTGCCTTGTTAGCTTAGCTTGTCATTTTTATTACCAGATGAGGAAGGACATTTCCTCCTCCACCTTTCCGAGGCAGGCTGGGGATGGAACCCAGGCCACCCTGAGTGGCAGGTTGGCCGCTGTTCTCATGCATATGCATTAGCTCTGCCATTACAAGCTCCCAGTAAGCAAGTTTCTAGATGCTCTAAGATACACTCGTAGATGCCTTTTGCTTTTCATTTTGAGGCAAAGTATCGCTTTGTTGCCCAGGTTGGCCTCTAACTTCTGGACTGAAGTCATCCTCCTGAGGAATGAAGACAGCAGGATCATGCTACCTCCACACGTTTAGGGACATTTAAAAAATGCCATTGGCCATATTTTCTTTCTAATTTTCTTCTAGTCTGTACTTGAAGCTTCCTAATGTAGACTACTCTAATTTTCCAGTTAGTAACTGTGGTAGTTTGTTATTACTACTTCATGACAACATTAAACTGTTTGTTTGTTTGTTTGTTTTCTTTTGTTTTTCAAGACAGGGTTTCTCTGTATTGCTTTGGAGGCTGTCCTGGAACTCACTCTGTAGACAAGGCTGGCCTCTAACTCACAGAGATCCACCTGCCTCTGCCTCCCAAGTGCTGGGATTAGAGGCGTGTGCCACCAGCTCCTGGAAACATTAAACTTTAGTTCAATATAGTTTGATTTTTTTTCTTAAATAAAGAGCATTTCTTTCCTCCCTTCTTTCTTTCTTACTTCCTCGTTATATAGCATTTCATTTTTCCTATGGTGTTGAGGCTTGAACCCAGGGCTCTCTGCATGCTAGTGAGGCTAGTACTTAACACTGAGCTATATTCACAGACTTTTATATTTTATTTTGAGGCAGTGTCACTGAAATGTATAAGCTGCCTATGACATACATACCAATCATCTTGCCTCAGCCTCCCGAGCAGCGAGATTAGTCATGTATGCCAATAAATTTAGCTCCCCAGACTGTCATGACAGTTTCCACATTGAGCAACAAATAATTTAAATTGTCTGTCTATTACAAATAATGCGACCACAAATAGGCATTTGTGTACAGGATTAGGCAAATACATAGGAACATTCTTAGACTTGTTTTCTCAATCTTTCAAAGGGAACAGTATGTAACAGAAAGACACAAAGCCCATTCAAAATGTACTGTAGTGCACAGAGCGTGTCTGTATCCGTGCACGGAGTGTGTCTGTAGAGCACATGAGGTGTGACTTTGTGGTGCACGGAATACGTCTGTACAGTGCATACGAAGTGTCTGTAACAGTTCATGGAGTAAGCTGTTCTCCCCACATTCAAACAGTATGTTTACTTTCCACTCATCTAACTTTAGTTATGGTATGCAACCAAAAGCAATTGGCGATATCTTATATTATTTTGGAGACCTCTGTAGCATCCCTGAGTGCAATTCATAGGGTCTGGCACTGAAATTTTTCATTTAATAACTCATTTTCATCATTGCCCATTGTCTGTCCATGCAGGGCTCCTCATTTAAACTACTTTTTAAAAGGGCAAAACAATTTTGTAATTAGCATACAACTGGTGGATCTGTGTTGACATGTTCACATACATCCTTAGTTTTAGTGAAACCATTCCTTACCCTGCCTTTATCCCCACCTATGACCCCTATCTCTGCTTAAATCATTACCACCAAGATTTCAGCTCCTTTTCTTTCAGATCACAAGTGTTCTACTATTCCCTCTATTGGATTGCAAGACAGTAGGTTCATGTATGGCCTTTTCATAACACTCCAATTTAGCTTACCTCTCTCCTTCATTCCCATTCTACCTACTTTAAACCTTTCTGCCCCTAGAATTCCCTTTCTGCTTCCTTTTGCCTGTATTCTACTATCCCTCCTTAATGGATACCCTCTAGTAACCTCTTTCTATTTTCCACATATGCTCCAAGTTTAACACAGGAAACCAAAGGATTCCAAGATAAGATTCACATATAAGAGAAGACCATGGGATTTGTTTGAAGGCCTGAAGTATACCATTCTTGTTTCTAGTTTCATCCACTTTCCTACAAAATTTCATGATTTCCTTTCTCTCTCCCCAGACAAATAAATTCTATTGTGTGTATATAACACGCTTTCCTATCTGTTTATCAGTCAGGAGACACCTAGGTTGAATCCATTGCTTAGTTTTTGCGAACAGAGAAGCAGTAATTGTGGGTGTGTAAGTATCTTCCGTAGTAGGATACAGAGTGTGCCCAGGAGTGCTATAGCTGGGTCATATGGTCGTTCTCTTTCTAGGCTTGATTGTTCGCTTGCTTTACAAAATCCCCAGACTGATTTCTAAAGTGACTTCTGTGGTTTACGCTTCCACCAACAGTGTGTATCGGTTCCCCATTCTCCATATCTATGTCCAAATTTGTTGTCCTTTGTAACCCTGGAGATGACCATTCTGACTGGGGTGAGATGGGCTTTAGAGTAGTTTTAGTCTGCAGTTCTCTTGAAGGCTAAGGATGCTAAACACTTCTCTCTCTCTCTCTCTCTCTCTCTCTCTCTCTCTCTGTCTCTCTCTCTCTCTCTCTCTCTGTCTCTCTCTAGTGTTTGCTACATATTTGTATTCTTTTGAGAATTTTCTGTTCAGTTCCTGCATTGATTAAGTTTTGTTGTTGTTGCTGCTGCTGTCATTGTTGTCAGCTTGACCCAAGCTGCAGTCATTTGGGAAAAAGAAATCCCAGATGAGGGATTGCTTCTATCAGACTGCCTGTGAGTATGACTATGTGGACGTTTTCTTGATTAATGGTAGATGTGGGAGTACCCAGGCCATTGTGGGCGGTGCTATCCCTGGACAGGTGGACTTGAGTTGCATAGAAAACAAAGCCACGAAGAACAAGCCAGTAAACAAAGATCCTCTGTTTCTCTGTGGTCTCTGCTCCAGTTCCTGCTTCCAAGTTCCTGCCCTGAATTCCTCCCCTTGGTGACGTTATGTCCAAATTCTGAACCCCAAAATCATCAAAAGGCACATTTCAATGCAAAAGCAAAGAGTCTTTTATTGTAGATGTTTAACGAACTAACCCCATTAGCTCGGTCCCTTCACCCCGCCACTATGGCGGATGGCTGGAGAAAGACCCCAAGCAACCTCGAGGCAGGGATCTTAAAAGGCAGCATAAGGGGAGTGTCTAGGGGCATGAAACAGTCTCAGGATTGGTGTGCTTCCAGGTTTGGGTGACCTGCCCTGTGTTGATTGGTCAACTGGTTGTTATGGCCCATAGACCCTCCCAGGGTGGTTGCTATGCTCTGCACGTCACTGTTGTGCACTGTCCATAAAGCACACCCAGAGCTATAAACCCCCAGCTAACTTCTGATTGGCTCCTTGCCACGAGGAGGGCATCTGACCTCCTAGTGACCAGGACAGAGCGGCAAGGTCATGCAAGCACATGGTAACCTG